ATTTCAAAGAAATTTTGTTGTAATATGACTATATGGATTAATATGAGAATTGAAATTGGAATATGTATAATTTATTCTATTGTATCATTGTAGAATATTTATTGAATATAAGTAGCATGCATGCATATTAATTTGGAATTTTTCATGCATGATGACATGTTGAGTTGACATAATTGCATGTAGAGAGGATTAGATATGAATAATTGTGTTACTCCCTCCATTCCCTTATACAAGGCCACAAACTCATATTACAGGTACCAAGATAAAATTTAATGACCCTCCTTTGCAAGTCAATTTTTTTTGTTAACCGGGATCATCAATACACCACAAGCATGCAACGGATGAATGGGAAGGAAGTGGCGGAGTGTCACTATGACTACATGCATGTAAGTATTAAAAGGTTGCTAGTACGAGGAAACATCATTAATTTTTGCCTCGATTACTGTTGGTGGTCTTGTATTGATGCAAAATGTATTTTTGATAGTGGCCTTGTGTAAGGAAATGGAGGGAATACATTATATGGTTTTCTTGTAATTTACTTCTAGAAATAATAACTATTTATGAATTGCCATAGCTAGCTCGACGAACTGGCATTTTGCTATGTGTTAGCTTGTTGCTACTACTTTTTGCAGGTTGTAAAAACATTATTATAAGATAAAATGAACAATATATGACCTAGTTCTCCAAAGAAGACGCAAGATTCGGATAGCTCAGCATGGCTTGCACCAGCGCACCGGGATCCCGACATTGCTGGCACGCTTGGACCTGCGGTTATGTCCACTACATTCACTTATGGTGCCTTCTGCGACACAACACTCTCTCCCCTAGCCTAGATCAGCTTTCCTGGAGATGGACAGAGTCTGGTGTCTATTCGGCTATGAATTGCTACTCCACCATGTTCCATGGTTCTATCGAGGACCCGGACTGCGACTTGCTTTCCCTATTATCGACGTGCATTGCAGTTAGCCACAAATAAGAAAATGAGATGAGACGAATGAAAGACAGAAGAGATCTTTTGAAGCTCGTTCAGTCGTCCTTCTCTCATTGGATGTGCACACCTAGTCACTACAAAAGAAAGCACAAGGTAGTCCCTCTGTTCTTTTTACTCCACGTATAAGATTTATGTCAAGTCAAACTTTACAAATTCTAACCAAATTTATATTAAAAAGTATCAATATCTACAATACCAAATATATATAATATGAAACTACATTCCATGACAAACCTAATGATACTGATTTGATATTGTCATGGAGTACTAACTAGCATGTGGAGTAGGTCGTAAGGGGCGTCGTGCAAAAGGCCCTAGCTGTACTACTTGCTTACACATGTACTTGTTCAATCTCAACCCAACATTTTCAGTTGGAAAAAAATTAGGATTTATCTTGACTCTGACTAAAACAAGATTAAAAACAGAGAATTTGAATGTTCAAAATAATCAATTTGGACGCATGCGCATGTTCGTTGTGATTTGTGAAAATCATGAGTTCTTCTGATCACTAGATTAGCGGCTTGCGGGCGTGAGTGATTCACAGTTGACAGTGGTGCGACCGTGCAACTAGGCATGCAGGCGGACACATCTGCAATGTTCTTGTATGTCCGCGTGAACGAAACACGGTTCTGAAACAGAGTTGACCGCATCTCATAAAAAAAAACAGACTTGACCAGAGTCACCCCTTTTCAATCGCTTCCTTCTCGGCTAGCCACAGTCACTGCAGACATGTCCGCCTGCATGCATGTGCGACTCTCATCATCGATATAGCATCTCCATTGTATACTATGCATGTTTGCACCTACTCTCGTCATCAAAGATTGAAATAGTCTTGGTATTTTTACCGACGCATATCATATTCCCAAGGAGCGGAAGAGATGAACCAAAGCAAGTGATCTACCCAAACCCACACCCAGGACAGGAGGGAGGCCAGGAATGCTCCCAAAACCCTCTCCTTCTTGACCGTCCCAACGCACTTGCTCTCACCACCCAGGAGTCCGACCTGGAACCCCAACCCTGCCCTCTTTCCCTTCCTCCACACCACTGCCTACCCGCAACAGCAGGTTACTAATTATTACTCCCTTCTCGAACTAGGCGCGTCCCTCCATGCTTGCTGCTTCTAGGAATCGTACTTGTGGATATCTGCAGGCCAATGATACTTTATGTTGCATCTCCTGATATCTGCAGGCTAATCGTACTTGTGGATATCTTATGGGACAGAGGGAGTACCTGATTATTAAGTGCATCGCCTTAAAGATTGGATCATACTGTATTTTTTAGGAGAGAAGCTGCTTGGTATACCCAGGAGATACCTGCATATGACAGCCAGTATTGTAACATCGACCAGACAGGTAGTCGAGTAGCAACAGCGGAATCGTTTTCCTCCTGGCCCTGGCGGCTGGAAACCCTAGCCGCCGCCAGGAGACCCAATCTTTCAGCGCCGTCCTTCGGCGGCTCCCCTCCGCCGGCGACCTCGGTCGTCGGTAGTGAGGGGGGTCGCCGGATCCACGCGTGTGGATTGTTTTTACTCTCTAGTAGTTTTAAATTTTTAGACTGTTCATCGTCTTTGTTTCGGCGGCGACGATGACAGCGCTGAATAAAGATTCTTCGGATCATTCCTTGACAAGGCCATTGGTCCTATGATTGGGGATGGATTTGGAAACTAGTCTGTTCAAGCAAGGATGGCGTGGCGGCGGCGACATCCTCGTGGTGGACCTATGTCCTCGGGCTCCGCCGTTGCGACGGCGTTTGCTCCAGCGTCGGCGCGGAGCTTGGGAGGTAGTCCAGGAGCGGATGCAGATTGTGGTCTGCATCGACGACATCTGGAAGACGGAACATGTGTTGGGTTCGTGGTTCGTGGTTCGTGGATGGCAGGTATGGTTTCCTTCCGCGACGTCTTAGTCGCGGTGGGGTGCCAGATCTGAAGTTCGATGGCGTGTCCGGGGTGTTGCCCTGGTCTGATTCGTTCAACGGTAAGGGCTTCACTTTTGGTGAGCCACCTTGAAGGTCCGCAAAGCTGCATATCAGCGATGGAGCCGCGTCGAGCTCGGGTAAGGAGGTGATCCATCATTCTTTTCTTCGGTGGCTGCTGTCGTGGTGCCGGAGGCAGGTGATGGGCGTTGGTGTCAAGCTCAGAGATGTTCTGCTATCTTTTCAGTTTTGTCATGTCGGTCCTTACGTGACTTGTACTTTAATCTTTATGATATGAATGAGACACGTATTACATGCAAAAAAAAAAGATACCTGCATATGACATTTGGGCCCATATCTCGCTAGCGTGGCATATGCCAAAACCTAGATTTTTTTAGGGATCCCCATGCCAAAACCTAGCTGCGTTCGCTTGAAGAAACTCCCTTGTGGGCTAACTTAGTAGGCAATTTTCTTCTTTTTTATTTAGCCAATTTTATTAGCGGCCCTATTTCCTTCTTCTTCTTTTAGTTTTTCATTTTCTCTTAGAGTGCGCTCTGACGTGCCCATGCATGGACCACGCCGTACCCCCTTTTTTCAGTTTGATTTATGTTTTTTGTTTTTCTAATTTTTGTATATTTATTTTCTTATCCCATTTATATTTTATGTTTATTTACTCATATTTTTGGACCCGAAACTGTAGGAATTTCTTCCCACGGTAATTGTTTTTATATTTATTTAATCATGTTTTTTATTTTACTGTTGTTTTTATTTTGTTTTTCCCTTCCTTTTTTCACTTTGTTTTTGTTTCGTTTTGGTCTGTTCTCTGGAAAATACATGTTTTCTGAGATGCATGAACACTGTTTTTTTTAACATGTACAGATGTTTTTTGAGGGATACCAAAATTTATTAAAATTGAACATTATTCAACAGGATACAAAGAGGGTCATGAGGGGATAGAAGCCACACATGGTGACCCTTAGGAAACGATACAGCAAATTTTACAATATTATGTGCATCCTGATTCGAAGCTTGACGTTCGCACATAAAATCACAGCTGGCAAAACATACTCTTCTCATGTTTATCTCTTTCACAATAGTGATATGGGGGCCTCCCAACCCTTTCTTGATGTCGTCCTCAATTGGTTTGCAGTCGCAGGCAATTACTAAACGATCCAAAGATAGATCAGCCGCAAGCGCCAAGGCCTCACGACATGCTATGGCCTCTAGAGTTATCGGATTATTAACATGTGGAGATTGTTCTAAAAAATAGTTACACTTTTTTTTTTGAGTTGAAGAATGGGCTTTTAGGCCAATAGTTAGATTCTTGAAGCGGCGACGCGTTCATGGGCCGGCCCATAAGAGCGAGCGCTTGTACAGAAGCAGCTCACCACAGACACCACCACACTCCTCCAGAAAACAGCGCCTCCATTCCCCACCCCTCCCCCAAACCAAATCCCTCGCCGTCGGCCGCCTCCCCCTCCACCGGCGGCCATGGGCGACTCTCAGTTTACCATCGGCACCTCCATGAGCGATATACTCGCCACCATGGAGCGCGAAGGCCGCGATCCTGCTACGATCTCCCTCGGCATAAACGCGATGCTCTGCTTCGTGTACGACTACCTGCCGGAGCCGCCCGTCTCCCTCACCGCCTCCCTCTCGCTCGCCGGCGCGTCGTGGGTCCCCGACGGCGTAGACCGCATCAGCCGCCTCCCCGATTTGCTCCTCCGCGTCATCATCTCCCGCCTCCCCGCCAAGGATGCCGCGCGCACCGCCGCCCTCTCCTCGCGCTGGCGCCCGCTCTGGCGCTCGGCGCCCCTGGCTCTTTTCGACATCAATCTCTTTCCGGACGGCGACACGTCTCCCTCTCCCCGCGCTGTCACCGCCGCTGTTTCCGGCGCCCTCGCGGCGAGTAAATTGCAAAAAATCACCACAATTAGGGACCCTAAATCAAAAAACCACCACCATTCATTTTTTTGCAAAAAACATCCGGTTTCTAGGTGACAGTTTGCAGAAAGCACTAATAACACGAATAAACAGCTATTGATGCGGAATCTGACCAGAGGGACCCATAATTCAGCTGGCGTGGCACCTAGTAACGTCCCTGAAGAGACGGATGTTATTGTCTAACCGAGCTGACAGGTGGGGTCCGTGTGTCATTGAAACAAAATGAATGAAAGAAAAAGGAGAGAAGAACGAAGGAGCGGTTGTGGCAGCGACGGACGGTAGCGAGAAGAGCTTGTACTCCGGCGAGATCCGTGCTCCGGCATCCAGGGCACCCCTGCTCCCTTGCCAACGATCCACGCGTCCCCGACCTCCCCTAGCCCCCGTCGCCACCCTTCTCCTTGCCGCCGGGCACAGGGCCTGCGCCACCGCGACACGGCCACCCACTCTGCTGCGCGGCCCGTGAGAAAACTCTCCCGCCGCCGCAGTCCTGACTCGCAGACGCCGGCAATCCACCGCCCCCGACCCACGGCTGTCTTGTAGTCAACGTGGGGGTCGCAGGGGAGCTCGAGGACGATGGCCTTGGGCGCGGCGGCGGCGACTGCCAGATCAGGGCGACACTGGGAGGTGGCAGGAGGTCGCAGGGCTCGTCGTGAAGATGCTCTGCGGCACCGACGTGTCGACGCACATCCGCTGGGGGCGACGACGAGGGCTGGGGCTCGCCGGAAGTCGAGTTCGGGCGGTGGCGAGGTGTGGTCAGGGGTTGAGATTACGGCCATGACAAGGCCGATTCCAGACAGCCTAGTCAAATTGATTTTGTGCGAAGAGGGAGGATACCATGGCAGGGCTAGCTGACATGACGGCGTTGTGAGACTCGGCCGTTGGCCACGAGCTCCATGAGTGGGCGGCGACAGGGCGCGGTGGAGCGCCACTGCAACTTGCGAGAGAGCACAGAGGAGGGACAGAGGGCGTGGCGGCGCACGGAGGAAGAGAAAGGTCGAGCGCGGAGACTAGGCGTTCGGCGGCGACTCCGACGGACGGTGGCGTGCGCTCGACAGCGGTGGGTCAACCATGTAGTAGATCTGTAGATACATCGGGCTGCCAATCTGGTGTGCCTCAAGGTGGCAATCGGGTCGGGTTTGATCGGGTCGACCTAAACCAGACCCATGCCCGAAACATAATCGGGTGCATAGCCAAACCCACGACCCTGCCCATGGGTCTTAGGTTAGACCCATGCCCGAACCCGCTGGGTCGCCCGACACTATTGCGGACCCATCGGGTCACACTACTACCATTCTACTGTGATGTGGTTGTCTTATATAGGCATCCAACCCATCGTTTTCTACTTCCGCGAGCGAGGTGGTACTAAATCGATCAGGACTACTGCACTGGAATGGACGAGTGAGAGTCGAGTGGAACATGGGCCAGGTGCTTTGAGCTTGCTCGGGCAAGACATGGGCCGGGTGCTTCTCTTTTTTGAGGGATGGCTGGATGGTCCTGGTCCTTTTGTCTTCTATGTGCATGTGCAGATGTGCCTCACGCGTATTTTTTTTCTCATTCGGTTGGCAATTATTTTTCTCATGTTTTCTGTGTTACGTGCTTGGCCCATGCATTTATAGATCCCTGCAATCAACCTACATTTCCCTCCTCTATTTCTCTATGTGCCTTGTGCATACATACAAAATAACTAGTTAATAATTACATAATATCATCGTGTCACCCACATGTCACATTAATCGGGTTGCCCATCGGGTAACCCATGGGTGTAGGCTTGTACCCATACCCTATCCACCACTAATCGGGTTGCCCGTGGGTCGTACCCATGGGCGCACACGGAGACCCATACCCTACCCATTCGGGATCGGGTGCCCATGGGCGAGTGTACCCATGGGTCGAATTGCCGGGTTGAGGTGTGCCTGCTACCTGTTTGGCAGAATGCCAAGGAGGCAGAGTTCTCGGTTGACCTGTTGTTTAACGTCCGTCTCTGCCGTCCATTCTGCTGGCCACGTGGCACCTGACAGTGGGACCCATCCGTCAAATTTGCATTAAACGACTCTAATCATTCAATCAGCGTTTTTTGCAAACTGTCAGCGCAATTGTGATGGGTTTTTGAAAAAAAAACCGAATAGTGGTGGTTTTTTGATTTAGGGTTCCTAATTGTGGTGCTTTTTTGCAATTTACTCCCTCGCGGCGCACCTGGGGCCTTTCCGCTGCGTCCACCTCATCTGCAGCGCCATGGATAAGCACCGAGGCGAAATGGCGCGCTGGCTCGACATCCTCGTCGCCAAGGGGGTCCAAGAACTCGTCTTTGTCAACCGCCCTTGGCCGATTGACCTGCGCCTCCCCGCCACGATCTTCAGCTGCGCCTCCCTCACCCGCCTCTACCTCGGCATCTGGAGGCTCCCGGACACCGCCGCTGTGCCGCGCAGTGTCAGCTTCCCCAACCCCCGGGAGCTCGGCCTCTGCTGGAATGTCATGGAGGACCGTGACCTCGCCTTCATGCTTGAAAGAAGCCCCGTCCTGGAGTTCCTCGGCATAATGGGGAGCCAGACCGGAGTGCGCGTCCGCCTCGTCAGCCACAGCCTGCGCTGCGTCCAGCTCGGCTTTTCTTTCATGGAGGACATCGACGTGGTGGATGCCCCTCGCCTGGAGAGGCTCTTCCAATGGGAAACTGTTTCCGCGGTCAATAGCCGGGCCATGGCGAACCGCTCTTTCAGAATCAAGATTGGGCATGCACCTAACCTGCGTGTGCTGGGATACCTTCAGCCTGGAGAGCAAGAGCTGGTCGTCGTGGTACAGAGCTGTGTCAATTTGCAAGTGGAACAGAGCTGTGTCAATTAATAATGGTAATCTATGATCTGAATTAGCTTGTCTGTCTTGGGTGCGTTGCAGGCTGGGAGCAAGGAGAGCATTGTTCCAAGTGCCCAGATTTTGGCCATGGAGGTGCAGTTCGGTGTGCGCAATGCTGTCAAGAAAGTGCCTGGCTTTCTCCGCTGTTTCCCCAACCTGGAGACTCTCCATGTCCAGGTAAAATTGCCTATATAACTAGCATGGTCAGAGCTGTGAATCAGATTAATTATAAGATTACTGGCCTGCTGCTGCTATTGCTACTGCTGCATGATATGTCCTCATAGAAAAGATCCCTGAACCATGTATGCCGTATTCGGCTGATCGATTTCATCTGCAGTCCACCCGCATACTTGAGGAGTCCACTGGCAAGGTCAATCTCAAGTTCTGGCAGGAGGGCGGCCCCATCGAATGCATCCTGCGGAGCATGAAGAAGTTGTTCTTCTACGAGTTCCGAGGGTCGAGAGAGGTCGGGTGCTGGACCAGATGGTGGTTGTGGTGGCCAGTGAGTATTTCTCGTCAGGGGACAATGTCAATGCCAAGCTGAAGCCTCTGACCAATGCGAAATGGAGCAGCAAAGCTTGCAAATTAGAGCTCTTCAGAAGCCCATTCGAGGAGGTGTCAGGTCCTCCTTACTGCCACGAGATAGCTTCTGATTTTCGGTTTGCTGACCCTTTTGACCTCCAGTACTACGCCGAAGCAGAAATGATCTCTATAAGTTAATTAGCACCTCTTGTACAAGACTCTTCTGGTACCTAGCTAGACCTTATGTTGTCGTTAGACCTGGGGAGACTATTTGGCAAGCTGTGAAATGCTTGTTTGTGCCGAGTCAAGTTTTAGGTTGGTCGATGCTGGACGCATAACAGATGGAATTAGATATCTATCTAGTCAATTGTAATGGTCTTTCTGCTTTGTCAAACTGCAATTTCAGTATGTCATGTAGTTTTTGTTGTCAGCATGAATTAATCTGCTATGCGCTAGGTTGGTTTCAGCTCAGAAGAGTACTAACTGATTACCACAATTATTGTCTTTAGTTCTGATTTTCACAAACTTCTGCTACATGTTTCTTATATAAAATGTACTGATTACTGCCATAGTGCCATTGCACAGAGATGTTGGAAACCTTCACAAACAGGATCAATATCTTCACTGAAGGAGTGGTGCTAGAGAAACCCAGGTGAGCTACTAGCATGGAACCACCCTGTTGAGTACAGAAATAGATGTATGTGACTCTCATGTCCTGAGCACACTGTGTGTGAAGTGGACACATGGATAATCAGTTCTGTCCAACTTGCAATGGGATTATCAAAGCCTTGTGCTTACTATTATTGCTATGTATTCCTTTTGTCCTTGTCGTTTCTCAAGGGATTTATTTCACATACATCACATGAAGAACTAACTTGGTTATAATGTGGGCCATGTGCTTGCTCGCGGGTGGGGAGAGCTCCTGAGGATCGCATGGGACTAGTTCTGCTGATGGATGCGACTGACCAGGAACAGCGCCGGATTCTATGCCTCCCAGCTGGGTGTTAGGGTCTTGAGAGATTCTAGTGTATGTGGTTGTTTCTTCTAGTGCCTGCATCTGTGTTGAGAGAGACTATATGTAGGTTTAGGTTGTGTCTTTGGTTGCTAGTGTTAGGGTCTATGGCTGTTTCTTCTGCTGTCTGCATCTGTGTTTGAACTTGCAATAAAATTCCCTGCAACCCGGTTGCTGCAAAAAGACCTGGCTGGCTGTTGCAGGCCCAGCCCGGGAGCCTAAAACTTTGTTACTATGTGGTTTCATTCTAATATAAATGGAGTCAAGGGAAACCCCTTTTTGTTATAAAAAAAGTATAGTAGTTATAATGCTTTTATCGTATAAGCTTTCACTGATTTCATAACAAATATGTCAATGAACTCTCATTGTTTATAGAAAAAAAAACACGTTCACATCGATTCCAATGAATGAATACACACAAAACATCTAAGGATTTCAAACATGTTTACGCAAATTTCAGTCATTATTACACGCCTCACAAGTGAGTTTGACCATGTTTTTCTGGGTTTCAGAAACATCTAGTCTTGTTTTCAAAGAAGTCCAGAAACATTTCGACAAAATTCGCGCTGATTTTCACAACTGCTTTAGGCAATTCATACTAATGCCGCGCTGGCGTTGGAGATGGAGTCGCGGTGGGCTGTCGGTGCACAGGAGCGATGCCGCCAGCTACCACGGTCCCCTGAGTTCTTACAAAGTTTCGGATGTTGTTTTTTTGTTCCTCCTTGGCTTCCCGTTGTGATATGTGCTGTGTGTTGGGCCTTAAACTGAAGCCCTTATAACAGAACTGTGGGTGCTCCGAATTCCAAGCTGCTGCAACAGAAGGGAGTAACTAGTTAAAGAGCGCTCCTTCCGAGCACTCGTAACGAGCGGTTCGGGAGCGCCCCGCGCGTGACAAGTGTCGCGCGCGGAGCGCTCCCGCAAGGGAAAACCAGGTGGGGCGGATGGTTCCCGGTTTTCCCTTTCCGGTTTGTGGTTTCATGCGTTTTGCACTTTGACCCTCATACTACCACATTTTTTCGTTTTCCCTTTCCGCGCGAAACACAAAAAAATACCAGTTCGCGCGCTTGGTTCCCTGTTTCCCTTTTTCGTTTCCCTTTCTGTTCCCATTATATTTCCGGGTAATGGAGATTTATGGGGTAGTTACGGGCGGGGACTACCAACACTATCAAATGTGACCTTTCAAGTAACAAAAAAAGCAACTTCTTAATGTAAAACGGCAGTGTTCAGAATTGTTCAATCGTGTGACTTCTTTATAGGCACAGGTGAACACTAGGAGAGGCACAGGTGTACAACTAGGAGAGGCACAGGTGTACAACTTTACCAAATTAAAGAAAAACGTGCTGGTTCGTGCAGCGCATTGTCCGTCGCGGTGTGACACAGCGCCTCCGGCGCGAGGGAACCTCCTGCTCGCCTTCGGCTCGTTTAATTTTTATAAACATCTTGAAGGGGGGCCATAGGTCGAAGTGTGTGTTGGTCGAAGTGTGTGTTGGTTCATGCAGCGTGCTGGTTCGTGTAGCGCGTTGTCCGTCGCGGTGTGACACAGCGCCTCCGGCGCGAGGGAACCTCCTGCTCCCCTTCGGCTCGTTTAATTTTCATAAACATTTTGAAGGGGGGGGCATAGGTCGAAGTGTGTGTTGGTCGAAGTGTGTGTTGG